TCATTAGAGGACACCCTATAGCAGTGGTGTGTGTATGTTGGCGCCCTCAAAGCTGTTTCTTGGGTGGTGGTATCGAGGGTGGTAGGAGCGGCCTACAGCAGTCTCCGCAAATGAAACCGACACCCAGTGTCTTGTGGTCGCCACCACTGACCCAAATCACCTGAGCTGCGGGCTTACTGCAGCAGCTGATGCTACTATGCATAGCTACTGCTGACGACCAGCCGTTCAAGGGGTTTACGGTTCGTGGCGGTGAGCACGGCTGCGGCAAATGTTGGGTTCCGGCGCAGACTACGGACTGCTTTCGAGACTGCTGCACCGTTCGATATTTCAGCTCCAGCAGCAAGCCTGAACGTGGCAGCAAACGCGACTCCTGTTCATGGCGTCGTCTACTGTTAACAGGAGAATGCATAATATCTACATAGCGGGAAGGTTGGTGTCTTTTGATATAACATTACTAAGAATAAGAATAGAGCCAGCGTCACAAGGAGGGTGAATTCCATCCTTTTACTTCGTATTCTCATATTTTGGCCGAGGCTCGTCTCTTTTCTTGTCTATTGGGAGGAACCCGATAGGCGTTGATACAGCTTTTGGTGTGACGAAAGAGGTGGCAGTGTAGGCTTCTTGACTGAGCACCTGTTGTTCAGGCTAAGTTCTCAGAACTTGTTTTTTTCACGCTCTAAGTTATTCATAACTGCAGGATCTATCCTTGCGTGGAAGTTGTTGCTAAATATGTTTGATTCATCCCTACTTTCTCCACGTCGCCGTCTCCAACCACGCCCTTCCTGACTGTGTGTAATGCGGACAAACAATAACAGAACATCTCCTTGTTTGAATGGGTTGGACGGTGCTAGCTGTTAGGCCGTGTATAAAGTGGTACAGAAACAGCTGATAGACCACGCAGGCATTGCAATCGACTCATGCTCCTGAACCATACAAAGTGCCGGCAAGGTGCCGCGTGTGTACACTACCACAACACAGGGGGGCGGATAGATCCGTACACAGCAGCATATGCACCATCGTTGTACATACTGCTGTAGTGTATCTGGTAGCTGTACACAACGGGAGGAAATACATAGAGTTGAAGTGTCACCGACGTTTTTTTCGTAAGCTCACCCCCAAAGAAGCCAATGCTTGTCCAGCCGCTTGACACCGCCATAGCAACAACAATGGAAGCGTTCATTATCATCCATCACTCCACGCAGTGCCCAACACGCTCCAGCCGGCCATGTGAACAGCGACCCGCGGCAAGCACCGCAAGGCTTTGTGCTTAGCTTGGGGGCATCCGCAGATATGGCGGTGTCTTGGCAGGGGAGCAGGCTGCCCCAGCTCTCCGCAGTTCTCCAGCCTGGCCACACAGCTTCACAGGAAGGTCATTACACGACGCACCGCCCTGCGACACACCCACACACTAGGTAGCGCCACACATCGCACTCTCGTGAACTGGCTGCAGTCCAACGCCGGATATATAGGTACCTTGCATTTGCTCCCGAGCATAAGATACCACCCCTCCCGGACCCCTGAACCGATATTCCAAGCCTGCTCAATACAAGACTCATTGAGCCCCATTCTACGTTTTTTTTTTTTCTGCCCCATTGTTGCCGTGAGAAAATGTCCAACACGGAGATGTAGCATGGATCAAAGCATTTGTTGGATTTCAGCTTTTACAAGAGGACATCAACGCAGTAGCATTTTAGCAAGCTTACGAACGCATATAGGATACCATGAGGATTGTCATTGGTTTTATTTCAAGTTGAAGAGGAAATATTTTTACGATGTAAGTGACTTTAGAAATTTTAGCAAGCTTACGAACACATATAGGATACCATCAGGATTGTCATTGGTTTTATTTCAAGTTGAAGAGGAAATATTTTTACGATGTAAGTGACTTTAGAAATTTTAGCAAGCTTACGAACACATATAGGATACCATCAGGATTGTCATTGGTTTTATTTCAAGTTGAAGAGGAAATATTTTTACGATGTAAGTGACTTTAGAAATTTTAGCAAGCTTACGAACACATATAGGATACCATCAGGATTGTCATTGGTTTTATTTAAAGTTGAAGAGGAGATATTTTTACGATGTAAATGACAGCTAGTAGAAATAAGTCCGACATATGTTGTTGTACTTCGTATTGGTTAAATATTCATGTAGAGTATGAGACATTAAGTGAAAGTTTTCTGAGGTACATCTGCAATTAATTGTCGGATGGCAAAAAAAAAAAAAAGACATATGTTGTTGACTTCGTATTGGTTTAGTATTCTAGTATCCATGTAGAGTATGAGACATTAAGTGAAAGTTTTCTGAGGTACATCTGCAATTAATTGTCGGATGGCAAAAAAAAAAAAAAGACATATGTTGTTGACTTCGTATTGGTTTAGTATTCTAGTATCCATGTAGAGTATGAGACATTAAGTGAAAGTTTTCTGAGGTACATCTGCAATTAATTGTCGGATGGCAAAAAAAAAAAAAAGACATATGTTGTTGACTTCGTATTGGTTTAGTATTCTAGTATCCATGTAGAGTATGAGACATTAAGTGAAAGTTTTCTGAGGTACATCTGCAATTGTCGGAAGGCAAAAAAAAAAAAAAATGCTGATGTTTTTTCTCCTACCCGTTACTTATTATGCCCCTTTTCTGGGGGAGAATATGCCTAATATGCCTTTTTTACTCTTCTATAACCCTTTCTCCGTTCTACATTTTGCATAATATGATTGGGGGTTAGGGTTAGGTTTAGTGCGCGCACTTTATTTTCTTCAAATCGCTGAAGGTTAGGTTTAGTCAAAGCAGCTCCAAAATTAGCGATAAGCGATTGATTCAACCCTGGAGAGCTAGCAGCGAGCCTGAAATATCGTCTTATCCACCATATTTTGTGGCCTGAAGCCCTCAATGGAGGAGTATGCTCGAGAACATATTTGCTCCTTTCTGCGCCACGATATGCTCGAGCATAGACTAGATCTATGCTCTTTCCGGAATATGCTTGTGCTCTATGCTCCTGTAGGCCAATCATGCCAAAAGTTATGCCCGCAGAATAGGGCGTGCCCTCAATACTCGGCAGCAGCAACAAACAACGAGCGACGGCGCTGAAACTAATGGCGGCGTTGGAACCGTCTTGTCGAGAGCTTTTCGAAAGAAAGGTGTCGCGGCATCCTCTTCGTCGTGGAGCTATCGAGCTCTCTGGAAAACGGTCCATACGGGATGTGGTATCTCACACATCCTACCGCACGCACTACAATGTAGACTTTAGAAGCCAAAATCAAACCATTGGACTTCATGTATGCTGACTAGTGTAATGGTATGATTTCGGCTTCTGTTGGGGGGGGGCAACTGGAGGCTAGTGTTGGGAGAACAGCAGCAGACTGTACCAACATTACAGTCTGCTGATGTGCCGCGAATGCGCCCAAGGAGAGAACGTAGGAGTTAGAACTCCAGTGTCACGGACGTAGTGCTGCGAGCAAAATTAGGGTGCAACCTCAAGAGAGGAGGGATGTGGGTATGAGTGACGACAGGAAATAATGAGCCCCCCCCCCCCTCGGTGTTTGCCATATGGGTTGGGTTTTCGTCGCTTGGCAAAGACGTTGTACAACAAGCCAATTCACTTCGTGAACCCGGCAACCAGGTTACCGTTTTTCTTTTTGCCTCTGTTTTTTTATTTTGGCGGTAACCATCTAATGGTGGTCGAGTAGATCATGTTGCGCGGGGTGTAGAACCCTCACTCCGCGCAAGGGGGATGATCGCACCACGTTGTGTTAAAATGGTCAAGCACCCTCGAGGCAGTTACACAGTGCTTACAACTGTCTCAAAAAGTGAAGCACCAGAAAATAATTTAAGTCATACGCAGCTGTCATCCTTATGCAAGGAAGTAAGCACAAGATGCCAAACACCCTTAGCAAGATGCAGCGCACCCTTCACGCGACTCGCCGCTTCGCGCTTGGTGATGTGANGGTTTGAGTGGTCAAGCACCCTCAAGGCAGTTACACAGTGCTTACAACTGTCTCAAAAAGTGAAGCACCAGAAANTAATGGTCTAACGACGACGGCATGCACAACTATGAGTACACCCCCCCTCAACTTCGTAAACTCGGCAACCAGGTTTCCGATTTTCTTTTTGCCTCTGTTTTCTTTTTTTGGCGGTAACCATCTAATGGTGGTCGAGTAGACCATGTTGCGCGGGGTGTAGAACCCTCACTCCGCGCAAGGGGGATGATCGCACTACGTCGGGTTTAAGTGGTCGAGCACCCTCGAGGCAGTTACACAGTGCTTACAACTGTCTCAAAAAGTGAAGCACCAGAAAATAATTTAAGCCATATGCAGCTGTCATCCGTATGCAAGAAAGTAGCACAAGATGCCAAACACCCTTAGCAGGATGCAGCGCACCCTTCACGCGACTCGCCGCTTCGCGCTTGGTGATGTGATATCCTGGTCCGGTGAGAACCCGGCGTGCTCCGCCCCGGCTTTGTACGGATGCGAGGTTGATGGTCTAACGACGACGGCATGCACAACTATGAGTACACCCCCCCTCAACTTCGTGAACTCGGCAACCACGTTTCCGATTTTCTTTTTGAACCTCTGTTTTTTGGCGGTAACCATTATGGTGGTCGAGTAGATCATGTTGTGCGGGGTCGAGAACACTCACTCCGCGCAAGGTGGATGATCGCACCACGTTGTGTTAAAATGCTCAAGCACCCTCGAGGCAGTTACACAGTGCTTACAACTGTCTCTGGAAGTGAAAGCACCAGAAAATAAATTAAGTCATACGCAGCTGTCATCCGTACGCAAGGAAGTAAGCACAAGATGCCGAACACCCTTAGCAGGATGCAGCGCGCCCTTCATGCGACTCGCCGAGTACCTCACGGCGCTTCGCGCTTGGTGATGTGAGATCCTGGTCCGGTGAGAACCCGGCGTGCTCCGTCCCGGCTTTGTAGGGATGCGAGGTCAATGGTCTAAGGACTACGGCATCCACGACTATATATGTCGTAGTACCCCCCCCTCCCCCTCCCCCCCCAACGATCACGGCATGGCTATGGTACACTATATTTCGTGGCCCCTGAGATGCGAGGATCACGCACGACACACGACTCAAACCTTCCGTACCCAACAAAGATGAGTTCCGATTGATTCCATACGATCGATCTCACTCGTGAATCAAGCGCACAATTTTGCGACTAGTAAAAAAGGACCTCGTAGTGTTAGACTGGTACTGACAGGACAGAGGAAGGTGCTGGGTAGAGAGAACGGAACGGTTTTTTAATGTGAAGAAGGATCTCTCTCAGGAATGAACACACACTTCCCGCTCAAATGTTTGGCGTCGTCGTCGGCAGGCTCAAAAGAGCAAGGGGGAGATTTGAGAACGGTATGACGACAATAGGTTGTTCTTATTAACTTCAACGTTGAAAAACGCTACGGTCCCTGCACTTGCCGCCGAACATCCGCCCCCCGTCCAACTGCAGCGGACGCCGTCCGCGCTAAACGCCAACAAGCCCACAAGGGCACTACACACACGAAGAAAATACGCAGAATGCATTGGCAACGACGGGAGATAAGAAAATTGCCTACACAACAATCATCAAAAACGAACAAAAGATACAATAGAACAAACCGGAAAGCGAACAAATGGTAGCGACAAGGCCCAAGACAGTCAGGCGGCGAAATGTTGGGAAGGAGATAAACGGATAGAGTTCATCGCTTCTGCTCAGCGCGCAATGCGAACGAAATACAGCAACAAATATCGTCCAGCTTTCGACGACTTGTCAAAAATAAAAATCAACCAAATACGGTAGTAGGGCCGTTGTGAAGGTTGTGGATGTTGTCTACGGTACATGAGGAAAAAAACTTAGCACAAGCCGGCACCCGTAGCAAGTCGTCTAATGAGATCAAACACGATCAACGACCACCAGGGCGCCCTGCTGCCCGCGCGTCACCCTCATCTCCTCGTCGAGGTAAATGATGTCTAAATAGCCTTTTGGACTGCGCTTCATCTCGTAGGACAGTTCCCCACGAGGGCCCAGGTCGTCCGCGGGCCCTTGAAACCCAAACACCACCTGAGAGCAACGAAAATAAAGAAATAATGAAGTTTCAATCCCTTTCACTAGCGTTTCTGTGCGGGTTCCTCGTTCTTTCGTCGCACGATGTTCGAAAGTTGCATACCGCACGTTCTGTGGCCGATTCCATAGCTATGGAAATACCGCGAGAGGCGGAGAGATCGCACGCCCCACAGACCGATTTTCAAAGCTGGGTTGCTTCGCAACCAAAACTTGTGCCAACAAATAAACAGGTAGGTTTTGCAAACATCTCGTCGAGGCTTTCCGTAGACGTCGGGCTCTTTCCACACCCACTTGGTTGTGTAGGCTTTGAAAAAGTCGGTCCTGGGGGGGGTGCCATCTCTCCGCCCCTTACGGTATATGCTTGGAAACTGACACCTCCCGGAGTAGTTTTAGCCCCGTAAACCGAACACGCTCTTCCTCGTGTGACAGACTATTTGTGATAGTTTTACCTGTGCAAGAGTTGAAACACCAGCGCGCCTGAGTTGCAGCTCCTCAGTCTACCGAAAATTGTCCGTCCACGCGTCGCGGTCAAACAGAAAACGGCCATTGCTTCTCCATGAGACTAAAAATAGACGCAAACCCTTGAAATAGAAACAAAATACTTGGTATCGTATACCACAAGAGAATTACCTTGAGCATCAACCTTGCGGCTTTCTCCTTCAGGGTGGACAACAGCCCTGTGTCTTTGGGGCCCTCGACATCCCGCACGCCGATGACCTTACGCCAGGCGTCGAGGTCTTGCCCCTCGTCTGGCTCGATGGAGCCCTTCGAGAACCGCACCAAGACGCGTTCCGGGATGGAAGGGTCTTCCCAGCAGGTCCCTGAGATCTCCACGCGTCCCCTAAGCCCGCTCCCGTCGCGGGCCACCCAGCGAGTCGAGATCACGTAATTGGACTCGTAGGCCGGGTCAGCGTTTTCGGGGCGGTCCCCAATGATATTCTTGATGGCCACTATCCGGACGGGGAGGTTCACGGGCTCAAAGATGTTGAATACAAGCCGCCCTAGGGTGCACTCCACTCCGTCTTTGGTGCGAGTCGTGCCCTTGAAGTCCTCTCCTGGATGGATTGCACGGGTAGCAGCAACGTGCGGGTTCTTGGGTTGAAGTTCATGATCTCGGCATTAATGGCGTCTAACAGACAGCCGCTTGTCCGACGGCAACGCGTAGACGCTCAGACGGATGTGCAAGGATTGTTCATGTGTGCATGAGCGGATGAGGATATTCCAACGGGACTGTAGGAAGTGACTACGCAGACAGGAGTTAATAGTCCCCTGGATAAGCTTTAATGGTTGATCCACGCGGCTTGGCTCTGTAGCAGTGCTTGCTGCTTTGCGGCACTCTCTCTCCCGCCGCGTCTTGATCTCGTCTCGTCACTGTTAGGGGTGTCAATCGGGCAGATTTTGGAGCCAAAAATGTGACCGGTCTATTCAGCGATTTGGCGGGGGGGCACGCGGATTGGGTTCGTTTTCGGCTTTTGAGAGTGCCCGCCTATTATACTGATTCAGCACTATATCACTCTGTTTGTGCAGGTAGTTCGCCCAGGCAGCAGCGTGGCTCTTCATACGTTACACACACCTGGACACAACTCCAATAGAGGCGACTAAAGTTAAAGGGCGGGCGAACAACACCAAAAAACATGTTTTCTTGAGCTCTTTGCTCCACGACCAAGGCGACCTTTGCTCGTCTCGAAAAAGCGAGCTTACAGCCCTCTAACTTGGGTTTACAGCTATACCATACAACAAACCGCATCCGAATCGCATCAGCCAACCACAAGATCTACCCTACAGTGGGGCTGCAGCGCCCACACCAGCAGACCCTCCCAAAAAAAAAAATCGAGGTCCGCGCCGTTAGGCAGCAGACGCGCTGCGCGAAAGCTGAATCAAAACAAAACGAAGTTGAAGAGGGGACGGGGCAGTGTATGGTTACCGCGTCAGCAGAAGATAACACGCTGGTCACGCCCGCAGTCATAGAGATGTGCAGGATGTGTAGAACACACCCCAGACGATGATCGGCGGCTCAACCTCGCTGCCGCCGCCGCCGCCGCTGCTGCTGCTGCTGTTTTTTTAGCAGCAGCAGTGGCGGCGGCAGGTGTCAGCGTGGCTTCACCGCCCGGCTGCTGCTCGGGTGTGTCATGAGGCATGTGTTCTAGAGTGGGACCGCGCAAAGGTGTTGTGCTGTGTCCCACAGCAGGGCACATCAGAGCACACACACGAGCGGCGCCCTCGCGCGTGCGCGTCAGGTGTGTCTAGGGAGCTTTCGGACCGTTCCGTGCAATGATATTGGTCAGTCGATTTTCCATTAGGAAGATCCGAGGTCACTTTTTCAGTTTTTTTCCAATAGGAAATTTGCTGCTTTGACACCCCTAACTGTCCGTAGACCCATGTTTATGGGAACAGAAGCTTGGGGATAAATCTTTGAAGACTTTCTCACAATAAATCTTCGTAAAGATTTGCGGTATCACGATTCAAGGGGAAAGTATGTTGATTGTTGAAAAAGCGGCGTGTTGTTCCTCTCTTCTACGTGAAGTTGATAAAGGTGCAACGGCCACTTGGTTCACAGAAAATGCCACGGTGTGGCGAAAAGTGAGCATGACGCAGTCGTAGAAGGGGCGTCCCTCCCCCAAGTATATTGCCTCGACACTATGGGTGGATCCTAGCGGTGGGGGCCCACCTGGGGTGCAAAAATAGCAGCCGTTGCCCCCGATCTCATGTCAAGCGGAGAAACAAAATGGCCATTGCTGTCAAACTGACAAAAATGTGCATGAAACCGAAGCCGATAACACCCGTGCAAGTATCTCACCACGTAGCAGGCGTGCCGAGGCCAAACCTTCGGCGCTGTCATCTGCACTCACGGATCTGGTTCGGGGGCACACGGATTGGGTGTGGGGTGATTCGATGAAGAGATACGAAGAAGCGTTGCACACGACAGAGCTGTGTTGGCAGTCCTCTTTTCTTGTACTTCAAAATTGAGTTACTCTTTGAACAGTCCCTCCACAGATGAAGCAACAAATTCGTGTCACCAGCGAGATGTTATCATCTCTGGATAGAAGCATTCCACTACCACCTCACTTGCGTCCGAGCGAGAACAGTTCGTGGAGGTGGCAGCATGGAAGGTTTGGCCTCGATGCGTCAACTACGGAGTGGGGCATGTGAACGGGGGTCGTCCGCTCTCCATGGTACTGTAGACGTGCGTATTCTCTGGTGATGACGCACGCGGAACGCGCCAGGGCAAATACGTAAGTATTTTTTTCGCGCGCCTTGGTCGTTTTCGTCCGCTGTCGGCGTCCGTGGCGTCGACACAGTGACGGCAGGGTGCCTTAGAGGCCCTTGAGAGTGTGCCACGTGCAGATTGCATGGCGTTATGGACAATTAGGTTGACTGACATATAGTGATGTCACCGCACCCAGCAAGATTTGTTCGCCCGCTCCAAGATTTGTCAACAGGCTCGTTTTGACCGATCTTGGGTCAAGATTTGCTCGAAAGGGCAGATTTTGGGCTTTGAGAAATCTTGGCCAAGATATATCGGAAGATTTCGCTCCGATAAATCGTGAAACTGGCAGATCTTGACCAAGATCAAGATTTATCGACAAGGTTTTGTTCCCATATATCTGGGTATTCGTACCAGAGATACAAGCATCTTCAACACACCTACAAGGTTATACTAACACTCTGGGTGTATCCCTAGAGGGAACCCGTGCTGGAAATGCGTGGCGCGTATGTTGCAGCAGAGGCTGCCGACGTCACCACAAGTAACCAGGGCAGGGGCGAAGTCTTGGAGGACAAAGCAGTAGTGTACGCAGCAAATTCGATTAAGCAAACATAAGGGATGAAGCATTCAATCCGTGCCGTTGGGGTTAGGGTTAGGGTTAGGGATAGGGTCTGCGTGCCCCCTCCCTCTTCTCTTTTTCAGATACTCTTTATATACTGCGTAGGCGGTCCGGACAAAGTCTCTAGCCTCTAAGGCCAAGTGCAGGAGCTGACGGAACTGCTGCGAGCCGCCATAGAAGGGAGAGAAGAAGGAGGAGTCCGGCGGCGCCACGGTGGGCGCTGTCGTTATGGGCATCACGTCTGCCCGTGGTCTCATGGAAGAGGGGCCGCACAACGGCGGAATCACGCCGCCCGCACAGCACGAGGGGAGTAGTACCAGACCGGGAGCCAGCCTGATAGTGCCAAGGATCCCTACTGGAGTGGACCCGGGCATAGGACCGGGCAGCGGGGACATCAGGGAGTCATCATCCCAAGAGAAGCCTGCTGCGGTGGGCGCTTGCATAGATTCGCGGCTGCCGAAGAGATCATCAGCAGTAGGCCGGTTGCGGAAGGCGAACCGGTGTGGGCGTTTCAGGTCCCTTCTAAAGGTGGGTTTGGCAGATCTCAGAACACCGAATATCTCTACAAGATAGGCAGCGCTGGTAGAGGTGCAGCAGCCGTTTGAGGCATTGGCCGAAGAGTCAGAGCAACGTGCTCATCACGTCGAGAGGAGCTGTGCGGCGCTGGAGGGGATGCCGCAGACGGCACACCACGTAAGTGCGCCTGTTGACCGCGGGAAAGTGCTTGCTTGCGTCTGGAGGGCTGAGGCAGCATGCATCCCCACGACGCCGTCGATGCGCCATCAAAACAACCAGGGGAAGCGAATCGTGGAGGCATGGGAAGAAGGACACGGTGAAGTGAGGCAGTAGAACATACTGGTGCAACGAGCGGGGGCATCGGTTAGTATCGTGCGGAACCCCGTAGGCAGTCCTGGCGATCATGGTGGCAAGAGATGACGAGGAGCTGGATGTGGCACGTGAGACCTTGAAAGAAGAGGCGGGGAAAATACACTAAAGCCGCGCGGGTTACCGCGTGCGCTCCATCTTCACACAGCAGCAGCAGGAGGAGATGGTGAAGATGGTATCATTGCAGGAGCGTGAGAGGGTGGAGTCACAGAAAACGGCCGAAAGGCCGTGTGCTCATAGCCGTGACGGAAGGGGGCGTGGGAGGGCAACAACCAAATAATGCGGTCGGATGGTCGTGTGTCCATAGCCGCGACGGAAGGGGCGCGCGGGGGGCAATATTCAGAGAATACGACGAGATGGCCGTGTTCCCATAGCCGCGACGGAAGGGGCGCGGGAGGGCAACAATCAAAGTAGCCCCACGGCACGTCGGACGGGGCGTGACACCGGTCTTTATGGGGACACTTACTTTGGGGATTATCTTGATCTTGGGCCAAGACAGTTCAGTGCTACAAATTATAAGGCACAAATCTTCGAAAAAACTCTCGGCCAAGATTTGTCCGAGGGCCAAAAGTTGCCCTTTCGAACAAATCTTTGACCCAAGATAATTCCCATTGACATTGCTGGACATATCTTGGCCCGGCGAGATTTATCTTGTGGGTGCGGAGAGATTACCACAGGTCAGTCAACGTAATCGTCCATAATGCAATGAAATCTGCACGTGGCACATTCGCAAGGGCCTCTAACGCACCCTGGCTTTACTGTGTCGACGCCACGGGCGCCCACAACGGAGAAAAACGATCAAGGCCCGCGAAAAATCTGGTACATTTTTGCTCTAGCTTGGGCCGCGTGCGTCATCAACCAAGAGCACACAGCTTCCAACTTGCGAACGGACAAAACCGGTTCACATCTCTCACTCCGTAGTTGACGCATCGAGGCCATATCTTCGATGCTGCCACCTCCACTGACCATTCTCTCTCGGACGCAAGTGAGGGGGTAGTGGAATGCTTCTATCCAGAGATAAAAGCATCGCTGGCGACGCGAATTTTTGCTTGGTCTGAAGAAGGATCGTTCAAAGAGTACTCTATTCTCAAGTAGACACAAGAGCCGCCGGAATATTTTTCCACAACAGTCGTGTGCCATGCTTCTCTCTCTTGATCGAATCGCGCCAGACCCAAGCACTCTGCACCCCGCAAAGATCTGTGAGTGCAGATGACGGCACCAAAGGTTTAACCTCGGTACGCCTACTACGTAGTGAGTTACGTGCACGGTTGCCATTGCCTCTCGGATTGCAAACATTTATTGCCGTTAGAGAACACAACAGTTTCGTTCCTCCACTTGCATGATACCTAGGCAACGCCCCCTCTTGCTGCACCCCATGTGGGCGCCAACTGCTAGAACCCATCCGTAGTGTTGAGCCAATGCAGCTATGGGAGGGACAACGCCTTCCAGGACTGCGTCGTGCTCAGTTTTCCTAACACCGTGGTACTTTCTGGACCAATTGGCAGTTGCGCCATTCGTCAACTTCAAGGTGACAAGACGAACAACATGCCCCCATTTTTCAACTTTCACAACATTTCACTTTCCCCCCCTCATCAATCGCGACACGAAATATCTTGGCGAACATATATTGCGAACAAATCTTGGCAAGATAATTCCCAAAGTTTGTGTCACCATAAAGACCGGTATGAGGTGGGGGGGGGGGGGGGGTACTCTTATGTTTTGCATGCCTTAGCGGTTAGACCATTGACCACGCGTCCTCGAGAGGACGGAGCATTGTTCCCACAGGACCGATCACCGATGGCCAATCGTTCCTTTCTACTTTGCCAAAGGTGGCTCAAAAATGTCTTCCCTAGTCTGTCTATCCTAACGATATCCCTTCCCGCCTTTTCAACCCACCTCCTATGCCCCAGTACAGCTACCGTCCTTTCCTCTCTATTCCATGCCTCAAACATCTCCCTGTACGTTCCATCTATTTTTCCCAGCTCAGTCACGTACACTTCCCTCTCCTTCTTGTACAACGGACATTCCGCGACTACATGAACACGGTCTTCGCATTCGAAGCCGCAATCACATTTGAACTCGTCGTCTTCCTCGTCTACCGTCCTATGTCTTCGTCGACGTTCTCGAAGGCCTATGTCCCCGGTCCTGAATTTGACCTTAAGCTTTGTTCCTGCATCCATTGGTCCATGTAGGTAGTCCTTGAACCCTATTCCTTCCTTCAACATTCCGTACACTTCTAGACCCTCCTTATCCTTGGATTCTGGTGAGGGGGGGGGGGGGGGGGGCCCCCGGGGGGGGGGGGGGGGGGGGGGGGGGNACGCGTCCTCGAGAGGACGGAGCATTGTTCCCACAGGACCGATCACCGATGGCCAATCGTTCCTGAGGGGAGGGCAAAATTGAAGCAGCCCCGTGGCGCCAGAAGGGGCGTGGGGGGGGAGGCAACATGCATCGTGGTGCTAAAACGGGAACTCTTTTTCTTGCCAGGCTACAGGCCGGGACGAGCGCTGGGAGGGGAGCAACACGCCTCACAGTACTGAAAGTGGCACCTATTTCTTGACGGTATTTAGTGTTTGATGGTATTCGTAGCGAAGTTGGTACCCTCGTTGGTTGTCGTGAGTGCACTTTGGTTGAAGAACCTAGGAGAGTATTCCGTGTTTCTCGAAGGCGTTCGCGTCCACATGTTCAGTATTTCCTGTTAGTCATTCGACGTTGAAACCCTTATTGATTGCGGCCACGTGGTGTAGTTCTCTAGGTGTTGCGAAATACGCAGGAACATGGGATATTGTTGGAACCGCTGAAGAAACGTATGAGGGAAATTGGGACACCAGTGTTGTACTTCCCCGAGAATAGAGGATTGTCGAAAAAAATGCATGCCGGATTGTGTCGCTCAGAAAATGTTGGATGATTGCCTCAAGCCCCGGTGCGGTGTGTTACGTCAGCGAGGGGGGGCGATTTCCATGTTTGAGGTCTGTTTGAAGAAAAGACAGTACTATAATAGTACAGCCGCATGGTAGCTGGTTGGACCAATTCCTCAGGATAGTCTTACGCTTTTGCTTACCAAGAATTGGGATAGGACGTTGTTGGAAACCGGGTTATGATAGCACGCGATTCATGCGGGAAGAATATGATGGCACGCCGCCCACGTTTGTAGACGTAGATTTCGAGCGTGGACGCTGGCGCGACTGGTATTATGCATATCTTGGTCTTACTATAGTAGTGCAGCCGTGACAGTGTTTGATTGAACGGTGAACGTTGGTGGGGGGTTTTGATCCGGAAGCCGGGTTTGCCCCTGTTTGGTTTCCTTTTGTTTTTTCGTTTGGTTTTTGGTCACATCCGGCGTGTGCATGCCCTCTACTGAAGTGGATTGTTACTTGCGTATAGGACCAGGGAGGGTGTTCGTGTGTGCATGAGCGGGTGAGGATATTCCAACGGGACTGTAGGAAATGGCTACGCAGATAGAAATTGATAGTCCCCTTGGATTAGGTTTTATGGTGGATCTACGGGGCTTGGCTCTGTGGGAGTGCTTGCTGCTTTGCGGCACTCTCCCTCCCGCCGCGTCTTGATCTCATCTGCTGTCCTTAATACAAGTGTACAATCATCTTCAACACACACACAAGGGTATACTCAAAGATTGCGACGGATGCACAATCCACTACCCCGCGTCCACACACTGCAAATGGCGGTTGAACGCATCATACACTTTGTGAATGGAAAACCATCTTCTCCGGGGAGAGGAGGCAATCATATGGCGTGGTGTGTACTTCGATTGATAGTAGTCACGACGCCATCTGTTCGCATGGCCGGCAGCGAGATCAATGCTCGCAAGGTAAGGCAGTCCAAGCCAAAACACAAACGCGCGAAAAGGCGCAAGCAGTGCCGAGATAGCTTGACCAGCGGTGTCCAAGCACGCAAGTGCCGGGATAGCTTGGCCAGCGGTGTCTAAGCAACGTGCTGTGCGTACCCTGCATGCGACACGACGGCGACCATCTCTCGAAGCTTCGAGCGCCGTACAGTACCCGCAGGCCTATGGCCATTCGACATGCTCGTTAATGCTGCGAGCGAGCGTATATCATGACCTCTACGTAGGCCATGTTGGAAATTGTTCTCACCTATGGAAGCCCACTCTCCGCTGTGCAGTGGCCATGCCTTAGCAGGGGAGGATGTGGGGTTGAAGTTGGCCAGCACCTGATGGCAAAATGGAGCACCGTTCATCGTCACCGCGGCTAAGATTGCGCTTTTCGGGCCATGGCCACACGAAGAGATGGCGGAAGTCACGTGAAAAGCATTGTTTTCTGGTTTTGTCGAATCGATCAGTGCCTTTTTGCGTAACAAGGGATGTTGTCGGTTCCAGGGACTATTGATGCGGTAATGCCCCATCCTGTGGCAACAAAGTGCCACAGACAAAACGCAGCTTACGTCCACAGACCACGGTCAGTGTCCTGTACGGGAAGATTACAAAGGGATTGGCAGCGCGTGCGCTGTCACTGCAGAAAAACGCGCAAGATGTAGATCCTGGTGCTGAATCAAAACCGCTTGGACACGAGATAGACACAAGAGGCGCCCGGAACAGAGATGCATGAAACAAACTTGTGTTGAACACCAAACGTACTGGAGCCTTTGTCTCGTTTGTAGTAGCACAAAAGGGTTCCGGGCACTCGAGTCACATCTCTCCTGCGCAAGACGTTGTCGACGTTGGGACATGTACCCGCCGGCATGAGCTGATGTTAGCCATCGATGTCTGTCGCTATTTCATTTTGGTAGATCACAGCAGTAGTGCGTACCACCATTACTTCACGGAACAAGGAACACTTGACGAAGGTAGCTGGTAATCCAGTCTATCCACAGCAACCCACCTTCATTGGGCCACCATTGCAAGTAACGTCGACTTGCATGCATAGATATGAACGAGTATTCGTCGCATGCGCTCTGAAGCCGACATTGCAAGTAGTGCATGAAGTTGTTGCAGCTGTATTCTGCGCTATGTCGTACATCAGTGCCAGTACTCACGAACGCTAATATGTATTGCACACTGCTTTAAATGCGTACGTGGCCATTTCGTGAACATGGAATGTTGAAGTAATCTATTCCAGTAAATTACCTTAAGCTTAGCTGTACCATACTCTGAAAACACGTGCAATTGGTTGACGTTGTTGGGATTTTGATTCCATGATTTCGAGGATAATATCGCACCTCCCTCTGATTCTGATTTCTCTCTAAGTCTACTGCTGTCTGGGCATTCTTTCCTTTTACATGTACTGCAACCTCGGCTCCGGTCTCCACCTATGAAGTAACGACATACATTTCCATCAAGCCATCGTTTCTCCTTCGGGCCTCCTAGTACACGTGAAATACTCGGTCTACCCTCCGTACATCACAGCCGTCCAGCGGGACAACAGCAGTGACATCGTCCGCTGCGCTGCACAGGTTACGTACAGATTCGCACGCAGCCTGGAGTTCTCGCCTTCGGCCTGTGACTTTGTTGTACTTTGAAGTACCTGGCATGGGTATGCATATAAGATTGCACAACCGAGGCGTGCGCTGCTCTCATGTACAGCAGGAGTCTTTACCATGAAAATCTGTTTTTGTTGGCTCCAGGGACATATCTTTCTCGGCAACATCACCTCGTTCGAGAACTTATCCCAGACTGATGTCAGCATCCACAAGCCACCCAAGATTGTTGGTGCAGACACATTCCAGCCTGGTGATTGCTACTCCGGAGTACATGATAAAATGTAGGGTCGGGGACTGGCGCGCAGCGCCAGTCTCAGGAATACTGGCTGCAGCACGCAGCCAGTTTACGTGACACTATCAGTACACTGGCCACACGGCTTCGCCGCGTGGTCGCGGCGCAGCTGCGACAACCGCGCGCCCCCCCGGCTGGTGAGGGGGCCACGTCGGAGGCACGTTTTTACGCGATTTGGCTTCACTACAAGATATTTTTGAGGTAATTTAGGGTCACTTTGACGATGCCAGAGTCCCGGGTTAAAACCTTGAAATTCTTGAAAAATGATCAACATCTCGGCAATTTTCTTAAAGCTTTAGTTGGGTGTGATAACACGCATCAGATTTACCATGTAGTTTGGTTGGGTGTGACACACGCATCGAATTAAAACCTGTGACTACATGCACGATAGCAGTACAATAACTTTGTGTGCCGAAAGATCGATGGCGTGCCTCGCCAAATAGAACAAAAACTGTGCCGTAAGGCCAGCAGAGAGACCGAGAGGCAGCCCACCACACAAGCACGCACATGTGCGCAGAAGTACACGCACCTACCATTTGTGCAGCAGTATTGTCTCTGATGTGGGGCAGACATGTCATTTCTTTCCACATCCAATCTACTGCCTACTGCTGCAAGATCGGAAGATACCACGGGAGGGTACATGCAGCACCCTCAACATGTGATCAACCCAGGGTCCCGTTTGCGCGATGGAGAGCAGAGACAACGCACACCGGAGCTGATGCTAACGTACTGCCTCGGTGCCTGATGCGGTCATGACTGCGGTGTGAAACTCAAAGTACAGAATACTGCAATTGTCGGAAGGCAAACAAAATAATAATAATAATACTGTCAGTCCTACTGGTCCAGTCCCCAACCCTGTCGAATTGAGTGATAGGTGAATCTACCCTAGTATCCACCGGTAGATACTGAGCGCTGTCCAAAAGTTTTTCTTTTTTTTTCATATAGCCCGGCGAATCCATCTCGTCATATAAAATAAAAGAGTCTATAAGATGGATGTGGCGACAGGTGTAGAGGTGCTGTAACCAATGTCGCACATACACAAGTAGAGTTAAGATACGATCCGAGCGGAAGATCTTACGGATGGTTGATCAACAAGAAACCCGACTTTGAATGCGTCCCTCTTGGCGCCACCTGCCGAGCTTGGGAATCCGAGACCCTCGGGCTTGGTCGCCCTCGCCCCTTCAGCGGCACTTTCCCTTACGTCTCTCTTCCGAGACCCTCTCCTCCCTGAATCTCAACGAAGAAAACTACCAGCCGTTAGTAGTGGGTAAAGTCTACTGCGACCTGGGCCTGCCCACAACGAGGGAAGCCTGTACCCTCATTCGCGTCTACGAATTACAAGATAATACTGGAGGTAGAGGTGAGAGGTGGCCAAAAAATCAGCCGTTCAACGCGCTCGCAACAAGACGGACGCGGCGTAGGAAAAGAGGCACGAGGAGCGGCAACGCCGCCTCGCGGCGGAAGACGAGATAGCGCAGCTAAAGCAACGACTCGCCGCTAATCGCTCGACAACACCGCCAGCATGTGGGACACCGCCGGAACGCATGCCTGCCCCGCGCCCCTCGGGTGGTAGCAGCCCTCCGGAGGAAAAGTCCGATGACCCCAGATTTCCCAACTGCATTGAATTCCACCTCGAACGGGGTACATGTTTCCGCTCGGGTGAACAACCACCCTGCTTTGGAAATTACAAACGACACAGCCGCTGATGTACCTTCAGTATCAGCGGAATTTTTGTAAGAGCACCCCACACTGAAACACAAAGTAGCTTTGTCCAGCACCACCTGGAGCGATACAGTTGTAAAGTGCTTCTAGTAGAAGCATTGGTTTTACTGAACCTGGGTCCAGATAACATGCTGCTAGAAAACAGCATCATGAACGCCTTCGGCGCAATTTTAGATTGGTCTGAAGAATTATCTTTCAAGAATTCTGTGCTGAAAATACCCGCAACCCACCGTCGAACACGGGATCAAACATGTCAACATGACAGTGCATCAGCACAAACTTCCCTTGTGACACTTTACCAGTCCGAAGGAGCCGTGCCGGTTTATCTTTGTAGGAAGAACTGCATTCCTCCGAAACATGGAATGGCTGTTGATGTCGTGACTAGCCACGCCCCAAAGGATACCACTCCTGCGGTAGTTGAGCCACGAATTATCACTGCCGACGATATTGAATCATCTGACGATACCCCTCAAGCAACCCGCCACATCGTTGTCGCGCGAACAGCCTGTAACTGGTTTGCAATCGACAAGTCAGCGGTGGTCTAGATAGCTAGCCCGTCTGATAGACATGTTCACCTGGACCGGGATACTATTCTACGGCATATTTCTCCAGTTTAATCGCGGTATCTGGAAAAACGACTGGCGCCGTCAACGATCATCAGACTTTTAGAAAAAAGATAGATGAGCTGAACAAGGCGATGAAGAAAGTGTTTACGGATACCACATTCTCGCCTCAACAATGCTCACAACTTCTCGATTTATGTGCCCTTCACCGTATTGCGTTTTCCCTATCGCCGAAAAAAGTGGGGAAATGTACCTTGACCGAAGCAGAGTTTCCGCTCGAGCCCGGTACAAAACCAGTTGATCGGGCAACGTACCGTGCAAACCTACGAGCACAAGAAGTTATCGACAAATGTACAACACAAATGGAAGCTGATGACATAATTGAGCAGCGACCTAGTTCTTGGGGATCGTCGGTCACCATGGTAGCAAAAGCCGACGGGACCCCTAGATTCTGTGTGGATTATCGCGGTACGATAAATAAGAGTTTAATTCGAAAATCGTGGCCTATGCCCGATATTAATTCCCACATTGATACAGTGGGTGGAGCAAAGTTTATCACTGAGTGTGGCGTGCACAGCGAGTACCACCAGATACCCGTTGCAGCAGCGGGGCAAGGGAAAATCGCCTTTGTAACTCAAAAAGGAAAATGGGTTTTTAAACGCCTCCCTTTTGGAGTTGCGAACCCCCCCTCTTTATTTGCTCGCATGATGTCATTAGCATTTGCACAATTTGGACCCCGAAGTGGGCTCCTCGTTTACATGGATGACATCATTTGCTGTCGTTCGACTTGGGAAAGTCATCCTACGTCGTTAGAAAAAACATTCCAATCCCTTCAAGCCGCAGGGCCCACATGAAACCTTCCAAGTTACAACTCAGAAATATTAAGGTCACATTTTGCCTGCGAAAGGAATTCGAATCGGAGACGACCACACTAAAGCTATGGTTGACTTGCCCGCGCCTAAAACAATCAAAGAACTCCTTTCAGTTGTAGGCATGACAATTATTGTGAGGAAATTTCTCCCAGACTTGTCCACGGTGCTCGCGCCGTTGGTAGACCTCACTAAAAAGGAGCACGTCAAATCGATCGCAAAACGTTGGCGAAACGGACACGATGAGGCGTTTGGCTCAGCCAAACGACTGCTCACGGAAGCACCCAT